CACAATAATGTCGAGAAATGCTAATAAAAACGTCATAACCCAAGGTGCTGATATGTTCCAATACTGTCAGGAATGATAAAAACACCATAACCCAAGCGACAGATATGTTCAAATCATATCAAGAAACAACAACAACAAAAAACACACCTTTACCCAAGGGACAGATATGTTCCAATAATGTCAAGAATTACTAATAAAAACGCCATAATCCAAGGTGCTGATATGTTCCAATAGTGTCAGAAATGATAAAAACACCATAATCCAAGGTGCAGATATATTACAACAATTTCAAGAATACTAATGAAAAAATCAAAACTCAAGAGGTACATACGCTCCCAGCACTTCAAGAAATATAATAAAAAACACTATAATCAAATGGGCAGTTATTTTCCAATCAAGTCAGTAAATAATAAATATAAAATCATAACACGAATGGCAGATATGCTATCTTCTCTTTGGTTTAGAAGAAGAGTCTTCTAAACCAAAGGGCAGATAATTCACAAACGTATCAACAGAATGTTCTAAGATTTCCTTAACCTTAAGGCAGATTAAGCCTGACATAACTTACAGAGTTCTAAACTGATTTCACTTATAGATCACCAAACACTTTACCTTTATGAAGGATAAAGCCCGATGAGAAAAGGCTTAACGAATGAAACGTCTGTTTCAAATGTTGTAAGACATAAAACCCGATAATAAAAGGTTTAACAAACGAAATATCTGTTACAAAATAGAAAGTTCAACAAGGAAAGGCTTAACGCAACGAAAATCTAGTATGAAATAAAAACCTCGCTAAGGAAAGACTTAGGGAACCAAGCATTTGTTGCAAGATTTGTAAGGTAAAAAAGACTTAATGAACGAATCACATGTCACAAAGTTTACGAGGTAGAACATAAGATAATAAAAGGCTTAACGAAAGGAAAATCTGTAACAAAGTAGGAAACTCGATAACAAAAGGCTTAACAAATTTAACATGCGTTACAAGATACAAATGATTTATCAACAAACATACGTACTTGTCGCCACCTGATCTGTCGGTCTGAGCTGCTAAAGAAGAATAAAAGATATATTATAAGGTTTTCAATTGAATATTTCTAAATGGCTTCAATAACTCTGATGTTTATGAAACAACTTGTACAAATAAAACAATGTAGAACTTCTTCTAATTTTACCATTTCACGTACTAGAAAATTACTTTCTTCTAAATATTGCACGTGATTCTAAATTAATTTCAAGTCAAAGTACAGAATAGTATAAAGATAAGAACATAATAAAGTCGTGAACGATATAGGACTATGCTCAATTGCAATATAAATTTATGATTTATTATAGATGTTTAGGACAACAGTTATGTTTACAAACATAATATTTAAGCCCATGGATGCTATACACAAGACACACAAAAATAACCACACATACTTTTCAACCTTATAAACTTGAGACACATACTTCCACCTTCAAACTAACTATCAGGATTACACAAAAATAACCATTCCCACAAAGGGTCTTCTAATATTACGACACAAACTTCCAACTACAAACAAATGTTTATTGCATAAAAATAACTATACATTCATTTGAAATCTTAAGATACACTTTTCCTCCTACAAAGAAATTGCTAAAGCTATAAACAAATAGTGATAAACTTCCGAAATGCGAATATTAAGACACACACCTACCCCTACAAACAAAAAGTCAGAATTACACTAAAATACCTACTTCTTCATTTCCAATTTTAGGATACACACTACTTCTTACAAACAAAAGGATTACAAAAATAAACATTCCCTCTAAGTTTCTAATCTTAAGACACGCATATTCTTATATAAACAAACGGTAAGGATTACACAAAAGTACATAGCTTCCAGGTTTTAGTCTTAAAACAACACACTTCTTCCTGCAAACAAATGGTCAGGACTACACAAAAATAACAATACATATACAAAATATCTAATTTTAATTCGCACACTTCCTTATAAAAACAAATGGTATAGCCTACACAAAAATAGCCACTTCTTCGAAGTTTCTAATCTTAAAACACATTTTCCTCTTACAAACAAGCTTTCAACTTACACGAAAATAATCACACAAACTTTCAGAAATTTCGATCTACAAACATACACTTACTCCTACAAACAAAGAGGTAAGATTATACAAAAATAACCACTTCTTCGAAGATTTGAATTTCAAGACTCACTTCCTCAGAAAGATCAGAACTACATAAAAATACAACAGAGCTTCCAAGTTTCTAATCTTAAGATACATACACTCCCTTTTACAAACCAGCGGTTATGGTTACACAGAAATAACTTCTTCTTCGAATCTTAAGACGGACAATTTAGGCGGAGTGTACGGAGAAACGATAAATAATTAATAACAAAAGAACTAATCTGTAAAACGTCCAAACATGAATATACATCAAATTTCCGTAAATTTTAATGTATTTTTTAAAAATAAAAACAGCTTGAGTTAGAAAATATAAGCTAATATATAATTTACATATGCGTGTGTTTTACCTGCAGACAATTTTCTCTTGCTTCGTAGTTTTAAGGCTATCACCACAACAACGGCTATGAGGACGAGAGTAGTTACAATGGCGATGAGAATAGTAAAGAGAGGCTGAACAATTACAATTGTCTGAGGGTGAACTGGAATGAAGAAAAATGATGTGTTAAAGTTTCTTTTAAGAAGTTTGAATTTTATGCAATGGGGACAAAAATCATTGAAATCAGGGCGCAATCAGTTAACAAAAAGCTATGTATTTCACGGACGTTCTGTGTTTGTTATTAAGTCGAGTTTATTGATATGCAATTAAAACGTAGTTTATTAACTCAGTTATTAAGTCAATTTTGCCCGCATGTGGCAAACACATATGCAATTCACGTAACTTGTTCAGTTTTACTGGCATCAGTTGTTCAACAATGGCTATTTTCGTGTATAGCGAAATCTACCTTTTCTGTTTTGTATTTTATTTTATGAAACACCTTACTGTATACGGGAGAATATTCAGTACAGTGTCTTCATTATACATGATAGTTTTTATCTCTACTTTCAATGAACTACAGTTTCAACGTGACACAAAAGCTTAGAGATACTAAATCGTACTTTGTATCTCTATCTTCAATGAACCAAAGGTTTAAAGTCATGTCATGTAAGAGACTAATTCTTTGGGCATAATCATCTACTATGTGTATGTGTGTACTGGTAATTCAATGTTTCTACTTTGCCAATATAAGTATTCTATGCGATACTCAAGCATGATCGGAATGGTCGTATATACCGCTTTAAAAACGCCTAATAGCATTATTACACAAAAGAAACATCGTGTATGCTACAGGTGAGAAACATTACAAGTGTTGTATAAACGTTGGATCCGTACGAGTGTTACATTGTAAGTAGTATCCATTCTTTAGGTTACGACGCCGTGACTAATATGTCCATTTCTAATACATGGCCATCACAGCGATTATAACACGGTCAATTTGCTCCATCTATAACGTTACTTAATTTCCGAGAACCCGACAAGAATGCATTAGGCTTGATCGTAGCAAAATATCGAACTTATCTTGCATTATTCAGTTTGTTCGAGAGTTGGATCTACAAGTTCGTATTTCACGATATTTTTGTTTTCTCCATATTTTGATAGAAATATTTACTGTTTAACAAACATTTTTAATAATGTTTCTTTAAAACTTAAAAAAATAAGAGGAACTCTGTCCTTGGAACAATTTTATGGCTCTTAATGGATGGTAAATTTTTTTCTTTTATATCCCTCAAGGTTTTAACAAAAGATATAATACAAAATTTACAGACCATGTACAGAATGTTGAAAGAGTGTCTTAGTAAGTTTCCAGATCATTGGATGGTAGTATTCTAATAACGTTCCAGAGCATTGGCTTGTCAATTTCCAGAACATTTGTTGGTAGTATCCAGTAAGCTTCCAGATCATGGGATGGTGGTGTTCCAGTTAGTTTCCAGAACACTGGTTGGTAGTGTCCACTAGGTTTCCAGAACATTGCTTGGTAATATCCAGTAAGTTTCCAGAACACTGGTTGGTAGTGTCCACTAAGTTTCCAGAACACTGGTTGGTAGTGTCCACTAAGTTTCCAGAATAATGGATGATAGTATTGCATAAGTTACCACATCTTTGGATGGTGGTGTTCCAGTAACTTACCAGAACATTGGATAATAGTGTTGTAGAAAGTTTTCAGATCAACACATCCTGGTGTTCCAGTAAGTTACCAGAGGATTGGATGGTTGAATTCCGTAAGTTTTCAAAACATTGGATGCTAATGTTCCATTGAGAGTGAGTTTTTATTTAATCTACAAAGTGAAATGATGACTTACTTTTATTCATGCGCATCTAGATAAGTTTGGTAAGGTTTTGGCATGTACTTCATAATGTGTTACGTATAATCTACCAGGTGAAAGGATGACTTACGTTTATCCATGCGCTTCTCAGCAGGTCGGAGTGTCGTGGCTGATATAATGACTGGCTCACTACGACCTTTAGGGTTTGAAGCGTACACGAGGAGTCTGAGAGCAGTTCCAGCAGGGAGATCTTTCACCACAAATTTGGGGTGCGGGGACGATAAGTTGGTCTTCAGGGTACCTCGCCCTACACTGTAAATCTCGAGAATAAATTCTGCATTCAATCCACCGTTATTTGCTTCAACACATTCTAAGTGGATGAGGTTTTCTGTCTGGTTTAGCACCGAACAGTTGTACGGAGACTCTGGAGGCCCTACGGCATATTATCACAGTTTTACATAAAGTAGTCCAAAGTATTAATACATCGAAACGTTCTAGATACTTATAGATTTAAAAAATGTTAGTTACGGTATCTCATCATAGTTTTACAGAAAATGGTCCAAAGTATTAGTATTTATGAATATAAAGTGGGAGTGTTTAATTTAATAAAACATAGTTCTAGAAGCAAGTTCAGATAACAAAGAACAATGTCAATTTTATAAAAAAAAAGAATTCCAATCTTACACGTTCTTTATATTTTATTTCAAATAAGATAGACATTGTAAATACAATACATTATAGAACAGTACTATCAAGCAACACTTTTCTGTGAAAAATAAACATACAATTATTAGGATAACTTAAAAACACAAACACACATACAAACAAATATGATATGTTCATCCATTAACTTAATGTAAAGTGCTGTAGATATAGTTACCCGTTCATAAATTAGGCCTTACTAAGTATGATGAAGCAGTCACAAAAAAAAAGATAATTACTACTTATTATCTTGAATAAAATTCATAAACTAAACTTAACCACATAAGTCAATGTAAGCAATAACTGGTAACTACATACAGGCTGTCAATGCATGATCCAGAGGTCCATTCCAAAATAATTTCAAGATTTCTTGAATAACTTTTCATTGTATAAGATCACAAAACACGCTTATTCTAGTGTCTAATTAAGGCAGCGAGTGCACTTATTACCTATACTTAATTGTTGAGATAATCTTCTTTCCTTGCCTAATCTTTAATATAAGTTCTATACGATCAGAATTCATAAGGAAGACCTTGGAGGTCATCTTCTTATCTGGAAAGGATAAAAAACACATTAAACAAGTAAATTGTGTAGTTTAAAATGGAATCCATTGGTGAACATATATAACACGGACAGTACGTTATAAAACATCTTATTTGTGTTCATGAACATAAACAAGAAATCTTGTTCATTATAAAAAGTCACATTTGTGTTCATTGTTTAAAGTATGCAACAAAGATTGTATGCTATAAAAAGTTACATTTGAGTTTATAAAATTATTAAAACACAGTTTCTTGAAAGTATTAAAGATGATTATGTATAGGGAAAAGTGAGGTAAGATGCTCGTTTCGGTAAAACAGTCATTCCTGTATGTTATTAACCACAGCATAGCGGCTCATAGAATGTTTTTTTTTTTAGTTTTTAAAGTGCAAACTTTTAGCTCATAGTTCCATCATCTCTTCACCGATTTGAGATCTAATTACAGTTTTGGACTCAGGAAGTCAAACCCTTTCGATTGATATATTAACCACGCCCAAGGTCTCATAGATTAATATAACTAATGAAAAAGTAAAAAAAAAAAAGTCTCATAGATTAATCTACTCTAATCCTGCCTAAAATAATTTCAAGTGCCGCGGCTATTGAGGATTCCCTCTTGTTTAGTTATGACGTACTGCCTTTTAGAGTTGTTTTTGGACAACTTTGAACCACGGTAAACACTTTGAAGTTCTTATGACTAAAAAGTAGATATTTCAGAGAATTTCCCGTTTATTTCAAACAATTCTAAATTATAGACAACAAAATATGTCGAAAGAGAAACAACTCAACTTGGTTGATGTTTTGTCACGTGCGATAGTTTTATAATGAGTGGCTGAGGGTAAGACGGCCTCCATTTGTTTTCATGACGTATGATTATTGCTTTACAATAAGTGGCTGAGGGTAAAGTAATCTTACCGACGTTCTTTTGCGTCATTGTCCTAGATAATGCACAACTTGTACATGGCACAAAGCCTTCCCGATCCCTGATGGCAGCATTTAAATGATGATTTAAGTGATTTGAATGCATTTGTTGAATGTAGCATTTATTTTAAATTGCAGTTGTTGCAAGACAGATCGGGGACATTTTATCCCATGTTGAAGGTTCGTTTTATTCAACCTTATAGATAAAACGGTAAAAAGGCCGTCAACCACAATAAAAGCATTTCTTCGATGTGTAATGCTCAATCTTTGTTTTAACTAGAAATGACATTTATAATAAACAAAGGTTTTTCTTAAAAAACTTTAACAATTTCAGGATGTTCATTTGAATTGGTGAAAACTGCAATCAAAGTTAACATGGCTGTCTTACATCACCTTACTCTGTTTTGTCTAACAACGTTCTGTGACGGATCAAAGCTTTGTACATCAAAATCTATGAAGGATATATGTTCCACCAAATAAATTATGTGACTGATCTATGCTACTTCAAACAGAATCTGTGATATATTTATGCTCTTTGCCGCCCAGTGGCACAGCAGTATATCTGCGGAGTTACAACGCTAGAAACCGGGTTTTGATACCCGTGGTGGGCAGAGCACAGACAGTCCTTGTGTAGCTTTGTGCATAATTAAAAACAAACAAACAAACATTTATGCTCCTTAAAATACAATTTGTTTTGGATCTAAGCTTTATAAAACAAAACCTAAGATTCATCTATGCTCCATAAATCAAAATATGTGATAGAATTATATTTCAAAAAATAAATGTTGTTGATGTTTGTTATTAAGCACAAAGGGCTATCTGTGCTCTGCCCATCACGGGTATCGAAACCCGGTTTTTGGCAGTATAAGTCCGTAGATATACTGCTGTGCCACTGGGGGGGGGGGGGCTCATAAAAATAACAATAAAACCTGTGATGGATCTGTGCTTTGTAATACAAAATCTGTGCTAGGTGTATTTTTCATAAAATTTGTGATGGAGCTTTGTTTCATAAAATAAAGTCCATTATCGATTTATGATCCTTAGAACAAAACTTATGATGAAACTATGTTTCATACAAAAAACATGGGGTAAATATTGTTAATGGTTTTTTATACACTAAATCCAGTGTTGGATGTATGTTTCATACAACAAAATCTATAATGGTTCTATGTTTAATACAACAAAGCATGTGATGAATCTTTGTTTCGTTTACCAAATCCTGTACTGGAACTTTGTTTCATAATAAAAAATTATGTGCAAAATCTTTTTATCATATAACAAATCATGCTATAGGTCTATGTTTTGTTTGTTTGTTTTTGAATTTCGCGCAAAGCTACACGAGGGCTATCTGCGCTAGCCATCCCTAATTTAGCAGTGTAAGACTAGAGGGAAAGCAACTAGTCATCATCACCCACCGCCAACTCTTGGGCCACTCTTTTACAAACGAATAGTGGGATTGACCGTCACATTATAACGCCCCCACGGCTGAAAGGGCGAGCATGTTTGGTGGGACGGGGATTCGAACCCGCGACCCTCAGATTGCGAGTCGAGCGCCTTATCTACCTGGCCATGCCGGGCCGTCTATGTTTTTAACAACAAATCCTGAGCTGGATATATGTTTCGTACAACTAAACATATGATAGATATTTGTTTAATGCAATAAAACCTGCGATGGATGTTTGTTTCATACAACAAATCTGTGCAAGATCTTTGCTCCATATAACAAAACCTGTGATGGTCTATGTTCAATACAACAAATCCTTTGCTGGATCTATATAACATACATCAAACCTGTGATGGATTTTTTTTTATACAACAAAGCTATAATAAATCTTTGATTCACACAACAAATCCTTTGACGTAACTTTTTTTTTTCATGTAACAAAACGTATGAGGAATACTTGTTTTTTACAACATAACTTATATGTTTTACACAACAAAATTTGTGAACTTTCCATTTTACCACTACTCACATTTTTATTTGTTTATTAGTAACAGATATTTACAGAAAAACAAATAAATGTATACTACCTACATTCTGGGTGATTGGTCCCTTTTGTGTGTCTCTTCCTCTTTCCCTAAACTGCACTTTCTCGTCTACCACCACTCATTAATGGTGTTTCACATGAGGTGGTACAGTCATCATCCTCTGTATCTTGCAGCTGACCTCTGATAGTGGCGTACTCTGTCGGTGGTTCCTGCTGTCTAACGGCTGAAGAGCATTGGCCAATTCTAGGCAGAGCCAACTCAGCGTATGTCACGCCCTCAGGCTACGAAACGTACAATTAATTTTTTAAAGATAATTTAATAGATCTACTTAATTTGTTCTATTGAAGTACAAATTAGTATATTAAAGTCGAATTATCCAACGGTATTATTTTCTTTATACTGGTACGTGTTTAGTCAGTTACCTAAAACTCATTTCTTAAACTTTTTTTTTATAAGTGATAAGTATTAATTTAAGAGAGGGTGAAATTATAATTGAATATATTTGCTTTTAAACTTAGTAATATTTCAGTCAGCAGTCCTTAGATTTTTATTTACAGACTTACAGAGTCTCAAAATACAAACATCTATTGTCAGGTGTTGTTTAATTTATTAACTTACGACAAATAATCTTAGATTGGTTGATGACTCTGGTGATCAAAATCTATCATCATATAAAAACTAACTTGCTTTAACGTAAAGCTTTCAGATAATAAGCCTCAGAACGCGGGCAGCAGACATTTCTACGTGATTGCTTTGAGACTACTAAAAGCATTATTTCATTAACATTCTGTATATGAAAGGCCTGAATTAGTTATTCTGAGTTCACAAGAGCTCTACAATCGAGACACGTGTGTAAATAGCATGGTGGTGACATAGAACAAAAACAATGTACGTTATATAGTCAAGAAATGTTTAAACAGCATAGCGGTGAAATGGGACATGGATACTTTGCCTTACGAAGTCACCAAGATCAAAGCAATTATTCCTATGTATCCCCACTCACACTAGTTCGTCTTGGACTTCTGTTTGATGTATTAATGCCACTTAGGTGACTAGTACAAAGATTTTCAGTCCTCTCCGCAGGTGAACTAACTGGACAAGAGGTGCTGTAACTAGTCTCCGCTATCAACTGACCGGTATAACAAGACTCCACGATACAGTTCAGTTGAAAATATCGGTCTTCGGAATAATCTGTAATAAAAATAATTTTATAAATATTACAAATATCAAAGATTCTGTTTATTAAATCAATAGCCTGGATGATAATTTATCTGATAAAGTGAGGACCTACTGTGTTATACGAAATTAGTTTCTCACCCTCGACTTTTTTCTCGTTGTAGAACCACAGCATTAAGGTACGTCACAGCCTAAATTCTATTTATTTATTTATTTTTTCGATGGGTTAATTTTTCCTTTAATAATATATGTGGTTCTATCCTTTGAGTAAAGTTAGGTTCCATTGATGAATGCACCAAGGTTAATCTCTCAGTGGCTTGCCCTTTTATATTATATACAGTTTCCCATTACAGCTTATGCTAATCATATTAGTATTTTCATTATACAAGACACAGTAGTTTCAATCATTGAGCTAGAAATGACTACTTTTAATCTTATTGCAGGTTTGAAGTTCCATGATTTATAACAAATGGTTATATCGGCTGAAGAAATTGAGTAGACTGACAGATGAGCACTACTGTTCTTAGTAATTATTCTAGTCCACTAGAAAACATCAAACAAAACTGGATTGACTTAAAGGAAATTTTCCAACTATTCTTGCTAAAAAGGACCGATTGCAAGAACATACAAAGAAAAACATTAGTGTCTAGTCAAACTGTGGCTTGTATTCAGTTTTATTGCTGTTAAACACGGAGTAACACAATGTGCTATCTGTGCTCTGCCCAACACTGGTATCAAAACTGGATTTTGAGCTTTATAAACCCTCAGACTTATTACTGACCAATGGGGTGCGGCTAGTGTTCATTGGCATAAACCGAAAGTTTTAGAAACCTCTTATGGTCTTGTTAAAAATTTCAAGATACGATGGTAAAAGAGGATACAAATTAGTTTTTGTTGCTTTTCTAATAAGGGGACCTTAATTTAGTTTCATTTAACCACAATATCACAATTTTCTGAATATTTTACAGGCTTCTCGTAATAGTTTTAAAATCATAATCACTTACTGGGTATTCATCTTATGAATACACCGAACTTTGATATTTAATTTTTACCCTCTTTCAACTCAAGAGTTCTAAGATGGAGAAATTTCAACATAGAGGTTTAAATAGCTATTCCACAGAATCCTCCTTGCTGAACCTCTTGTTTGTTGTTTAAGTTTGAGTTTACTGAAGACTCAATCAAACCGACTTTTTTATGAGCTTCAATCGATATGTCAAGTACACGAACCTGTAGATCAATTATAATAGAGCTGTGATATGTTTTTAGTTCCTTGATTTCTGATTCGATAGTCAAATAATAGCAGCTGTTAAAGGTATTTTTCCGTCTTTGGTTTCTGATAAATAACTAGTTTAAAAAGTCAGGTGTAAGTAATTGTTTGTGATATTTATATTCGTAAAAAATTGCCCTCAATCGGTTGTTGACATGGACCACTGCAAATGGTTTTAAATTCTCTTTTTTCTAA